CCCTGAGCCCGAACGCGTAAGTCCACCCCGCTCGGCGTCCTGGGACTGCGCGCGCCAGGGCCCCGGCCGGCCGGCGGGCCTGGCAGGCGGTGACACGAGCATGCGCTGTCGGGTCCGCCGAGGCTACGACCCGTCCTTTCAGCCGCGTTGCCTTCCCTCGCCTGCGCACTTTTGCAAACTGGCTGGAGGACCGGTCGTGCTGAAAGCAAACCAGCAATACTTTACGTTGCCCTCCTAAATGTTGCTGAAGGCCCAGCGGTTCCAGCAGGAGAGGAAGAGGAAAGAACCGCGGAGAGAGGAGTATAATGGGAAGAAGGAAATAAAATTCATGGGGGGGGACCCCTCGCTTCCTCCTTTAATCCAAACTTGTAGCTGGGGTGGGATTTAAGAAGAGTGCCGCGATGCTCTTAGCAAGTTAACTTCTCTTCCTCCTCTTCTTTCCATGCACTCGTTTTTAAAGTCATAGTACATCACGCAATACCTTAAATTGGTCTTATCGGAAATAACAGTGTGCCTGGCTTGCAGATCTGGCCAGCTGGAATATTTCAGCCTTTTCTCTTCTCCCGACTTGTCCGTGGGTCCATAACGGACACCCGTGGGGCCGACTGCTGTTTCTTGGGAGGGTTTTACGTAGGCTTCGTTTCATTTTCTCTGTTTTAAATACGTCCGCGCCCTTCGATTGCAAATGATCTGTGAAAGGATTAAGAAGAAGCGGAAAAAGCTTAGGGGCGCAGAGCAGGAAGAGTGTTATGGTTGCTTTCTTACCCCTTTTGCCCCCGAGTTTTTCCTCTAGATTGGCAGGAGAGCAGCAGGTGTTGGGAGAGGTCGATCTTGCACTCCAAAACATATCACGATGTGGCAGTGGGTTTCCTCAGAGGTCTTCTGATCCCCAATTTGAGCCTCAGTCTGGAAATCGATGAGCTTGGCTTGAGAATTTTGGTAGTCCAATGCAAACCAATAAATTATAATTAAAATAATACATGATTTTACTTGAAGTGGACTGCGAGATCAGCTTTGGGATTCTTGTTGATTGAAAAGGAAGCAAGTCATTTTGGGCTACTCAAATTTCCTGGCTGTAGCATGAGGACTATGTACAATTTGGCATTTTGAGTGGGGCTACCAGATCTGGGCTGCCAAAATCACAGTGACCACTAGCCATGGGGACCAGAATTGCCTCACAGAGTGTTTGGCAACAAGTAGGACAAGTGCAGACTTTAATTAAACCTGTTAATACAGTACAGCTTTCTCCACTCCAGCTTCATGTTTTCCAGATGCATTGGGGTATAGCTCCTAGAATCCCAAGCCAACTGGCAGAGAATGTTGTGAATTGTAGCCCACCACATCTGGACAGCACCACATTGGGAAAACATGCCTAATCTTTCATTTTCTCTCTGCTTGGGAAGAAGAGTTGCTAAAAAAAAAGGGGGGGGGAATGCATTGTGTAAAAGTTGCTACTAAAAAGAAATAATGGCATTTCTTGGACTTTAATCATGAAAGCTAATAATAGCTGTCTGAAAATCAAAGATCAGTAAGAGTGCATCCTAAGTTCTGCTCCAAGCTTTTTCTTTTGGCCCTTGTAAATTCCAAAGCAATTATTTTAAAACTCAGGTCTGGGCCATAAACTTCAGCCTCATGGACCAGTTCTAGTATTTGTAGACCTAAAGTATCTCTGACAGATACTTTTAGTGCTTCTTCAAAATCTTCAAATGATTCTACATCACCTTCCCTTCCTAGAGGGTCCTCTCATCCATCAGGCCGTGCCACTCTTGCAAGAAAATAGCAGATTCTGACAAGGAAATTTCATGAGCTGTCATGGAGGTGAGAATGGAGAAAGATGTAGCAGCTTGTATATACATAAATGTCAGAAATCATCACTCAGTTATAAATTTACGCGGCAGATGCTACTGGCATAACTCTGCTGGTTCAGAGGTAGTAGGATTGGGTAGAAAGTTAAAAGGATGGGGAGAGGCAGGATGGATTGTGTGCACTTAAAAACATTGCCTGGGGCTTGAAAAATATCCAGGTAGCTGGGCACCTAAGATTTTTGCTTGGAATTTGAAGCATTAAACTATGAAATCATCTTCCTCTCTTATTTTGAGAACTGGGTGGTGGGAGATGTAATGGTTTGTGGGAATGACTTTGAGAGACAGGAAAAAAAATCTGCAGCCTAGGCAACAGTCTGATAAGAGGCAGATCAATCTGCAGGTGGGGGAAAAACATGGGAAGCGTTTCAGAAGGGACCCTCTCTAGTTTTCTGGGGACTAAAAAGAGAAGAGGGGAGAAATACTTTCTGTCTTGCAAGATTCTGTTAATGTAACCTTACAATAAAGTAGGATTAGCTCATCTGGGTGTGCTTTTTGCCTGGACTACCTCACAAGGCTGACATCAATCTTGCAAGATTGAAAGTATTTCTCCCTTCCTCTTTTTTTAGTCCCTGGAAAACTAGGTAGGGTCATTTCCACAAACCATTACAGGAGGTGAAGACAGGCAGAAGAATCTACAAAGGTATCTAGAAGACAGAGGAACTGGAATTCTACACTCCTACGTAACAATATTCATTGCATTCTTTCTTATGCTAGTGTGTTCTTCCTCATAGCTAGGGGGAAAAATACAGTACAGTAAGGACTGTCCTAAATGGCACCCCTTAAAAGTCAATAGCAGTTGGCCATCATGTGTTTTGTAAGCAAATATATGTCTACCTAAAAATATCATTTTATATTTTAAAATAAAACTTGGTTTCACATTCCTATGAATTCAGTTGTTCCATATTACCTTTTATTTTAGCCCTCTAGTGTTAATAATTAAACAATGCTGAGCCCAGTTCTTTAGCAATTTCATAGTATTTTTGTAGTATGTAAAAAAAGCTCTTGTCAAGAGATTTGTAATGGGGGGGGCGTGTTACGGGAAAATCTATTTTTAAGAGACTTGAAATGTAATTCAGAATTCAAATGCAGCAGCAAACTTATGACAGGAAACTGAAATCACTAGTGACTTGTTATATGCTAATGTTGCAAACTGTGATGCCCCTATATCTTTTTCCTGAAGTGTTTTCCAGTGAGCTTTATAGTGTAATTAAACCTATCAGTGCAATGGCATGTGCTTGTTAAAAGAGCCACCTTTGGTACTTAATTGTAGTTAGCCATCATTTGCTTTATTAAAAGTACATTTGCAAATATATAACAAGGCAGGCAAATCCCTCAGGAATTTAACCCACTATCTTCAAAACCCACACACAGCTCTAACCTACCCTTTGGCTGAAAAGGGCTGGACACGTTTCCCCTCTAGAGCCTATTAAAACTACTCTGTTAAGTGACCAGAGGCTGTTAACACATTAATGACATTAGTTGCTTCTTTTCCTTCAGGGACTTTACACAAAGCCTTTTCCCTCCTCTCCCCTTTTTTGGGGGGGAGGGCTGACACTAATAGCATTTCTACAGAGGATTGGATTTGTTGGCGGGGTTGATCAGAATAATGTAAGCTAATGCCATCCTCATTTTCCTTGTCTGTCTAAAGGCCATCTACTTTAATGCTTTATATTCAGTGGAGTGAGTTTTAATATCACCCTTAAGGGGTGATTGGTCTTATCTGCAGCTTTTGAGATCAGAGATGGTAATTGGCGTCTCCTTTAATTTTTATCCCACTGATATACTTAGCTAAGAAAGTGCTCCCAGCCAAATGATCATGCAGCCATGCCAGTCGACAAGCGTAAGTTACCTAGCCTAGCCTACCCCTTGAATCAAACCATATTCCAAAAGGATCAAGCGGTCAAAGAAAATAGGTATTTTTGAAGGTTTCCACAAATAACACAAGACTACAGAGTATCCGTCAGCAGTTATCAATAACTGAGTATTGAACTTCAGCATGTGCTCCATTGTATGCAGCTATATAAGGCATTGCCTGGAGTTTAAAGAAGGATACATGACTGAGATGTTCTAAGCTACCTATTATTGAATCTCAGTGCCCTTGCAGAGGTGAAATTTAAGTGAGACATAAGAAGAGTAAACAATACCAAATAATCTTTTCCGTGTTTATTTTTGCAGTAAGTTACAATAAAACTGTATTTTTATATACAATTAAAATTAATTATAGAAAACTGTAATGTCATAGTTGCATCATTGTTATTGTTTGAAATAATACTTTGGTGTGTGAAATCCATAATACAGCTTCAGTAAATACTACAGGACTGACTCGTTAGAAAAATCATGCTACACATTCCAGTTAAGGCAAACTATCTGGGATAAAACGATTGCCATTCTTTTGAAGCAAATAGAGTTAAATTTCCTTTATTATATATTCTTGGATTTAACTCAATTGTGCACTTAGTCCCAAATTTCTATTGATTATGGTTGAAGTGACCCAAAATGAGAAATTGGAAGTTTACAGATACTTGTTTTACCTAGTGAAAATCAACTTAGTCCAACAATCTTCATTCTTGCTACACTCACTCATTCTTTGGCCTGTGGTTTGTCCTTGGTGGGTATCTTATCCTGAAACTTCATGCTGCATCATACTTCCTTGTATTATATATGGGAAAATGGCTGGTGCTGCATTTAAAATGAAAATTGCATACTTTCGTAGAGGAGGACTCTGAAAAGACCACTCATTGTTAGATAATAGCACCTGTCTGAAATTAGTGGCCATGCTTGCTGTAGCTGATGGTGATAGAAGTTCAAGTCGAACAACATATAGAAGAATCACAGGCTATTTAACCTTGCTCAGCAGGAAAACCACAATAGTTATCCTAAATTCTGTTCACATTGAAACATTGGACAAAACAGCATGTGAGGCTGTAGGCTGAATATTAAAGCAAGAGGGATAATAATACTAAATGTGCTTATATGTAATAATTTAAAGCTGCAGAATATTACCTAAAGCGTATGTTTCAAAATGTTAAATTGTTACTCTGTGTGTTCATGCTATACATTTCATGAAGCTTCATGCAGAATCCTCATGGAATATCCAGGTTTTATTCATCTGCTCATTACATACAATAAAGCAAAAATGCATTGCCTGTTCAAAATATATATGTGTGTGTGTGTGTGTGTGTGTGTATATGTATATATGTATATATATGTATGTGCATATATGTGTATATACACACACACCATAAATATATGAGATGCTATCGTAATTAACTTAAACTTTGCTCAATAGCAGACATTCTTCCTAATATATTTGGACTTTTAGACTGCAGAAGAATGAGTTTGGCACATTTATGCACCATTTTTATGAAATTCAATGTGAAGGTCTCTAAAGCTATCTGACCCATTGGGCCTTGCTATGGACATGCTAGGTATGAGTTATTAATGCAGTCTCCACAATCAGAATTCTATACAGGTCTGTTTTTGCGGTTCCTTGAGATGTTTCTGATGCCTTCAAATATCAGAATAATTTGGGAGTCTCTATAGAAACCTCTACAGGTTCTGCTTGCATTAGTGTAGCATTCATAACCAGCTACTCTGTATGCTAAATTCCTGTCTCTGATCATAAGTGCCTTAGACCCAAAGCAATAGCCTGGTTTTATTTTTGATAAGAGAAAATTTCTTCTAATGCATAGCAGTAAATCAGTTTTCTCTTTTATCTGTCCTTTCATGCATCTTGCTAGTTATGCTGCTTGTACTTGCCTGCTATAGCTTTTAATAAAGGACAAATTCTCCAGGAACAAAGGAGATGGATGTTTTCCCGATGGAAAGCAGCCTGTCTTCAGAGGGTCTTCTCAGATTTTTATTATTACATTTTGTACACTCCTACTATAATACATATTTTGTTTCTGATTCACTTCCTCTAGATGTATCTTGATTCATTTTCAACAGTAGTCATGCTTCAGCCTTTTTCCCTTGGATATTCTTCTTGTATTCATCCACTTTGTTTTAACCTAACAGGATTCTATTTCATTTCATTTCATTTTTGTTTATATTCAGATTTTTGAACTTGATTTCTATGAAGGTGTATCCTTCACAAAATGAAGTGTTGCTATTCTAGTGTCCAGTCAACCTGAGACAGGAGCCCTGAAGCCATTTTCAGAGGTTAAAGAGAAAGATACAGGAAGACTTCAAGAGAATAGAGGGGGGGGGACTTTTTTCTCTTGCATCCTACTCAAACAATTTATTCCATTATAAAGGTCTAAAAAGGTTCAGTTCAGGTGTTAGTGTAGATAGGATTTTATGGACCTCATGGTCAGCTTTACCCCTATTCCTACCGCATCCCCCCTCAATTTTACCACCTCCCCGCTGATCCTCACATCATTATTTCACTGGATTACTTTCAATATGCCATAAGTCCTAGGAATCATTAAGCACAGGTCTTTGTGAAAAGCTCCTTTCTTTTACATGCTTTCTCTATAAATTTTTTGCATATAGCAATACATATTAAAAAAATCTTATTTTGAGGTGCCCGCATTCCAAACTGATAGATGCTCAGTTACCCAAATTTACTGTTAGAAAGATGCTGCTGCTTTGAGTGGAAGCATAGGTTGTAGACAAAGCTACTTGTTCTTGGAAGACAACATGCTTATGACAATGATTATAAAATAGAAAACTACAGAAATCAGAATACATTATTTTGATACCAAAATCTGTTATACAATGTAATGCTTTTCTTTCTATTTTCTATTCCTTTCCAAATATCTGTTATCCAAAAAGAAAATACCCTTGAATCTAAGAGAGTTCCTTTAATAAAGGAAAAGAAAGGTGAAAACATAATCTTCTGCAAACCCCAGTTTCCCCATCTTGCCAACCTAGGATTGGAAACTGCATCTAAAACCAATTCTGGACACCACTCGGCCAGATGTGATGACACATTTGTACATGTGTATATACATATATGTGTGGGCATATATACCTGCTAGAAGTTACACTCTAAAAATAAGCAGGGTTAGGAATGTGTGTGTGTGCATTGAATTAATAACTACTGACTAAAATTAATTGTATATACAAAGGAAGCCTGTTTGTAAAACAAATCACACTCAGACCACTCTCAAACACAGAAATGCACAAGTTTACACATACACATTCCTTCCCCCTCCCAACAGAGTCAAAAAGAAGGAGGAAAGGATGGAGAAAAGGGAAGGGGAGAACAAAATTAGATTTTAAAAGGGCAGAGATGTTCTCAGGGAAGAAAAGAGAGAAGATCTTGTTGGATATTACAAAAAGGGTTGGAATTCCCAGGTAAGAAGCTGTAGGCTGCTGACTGCTTATCTTCAAACACATCTAAGTTTTGGGCAGCAGTATCTGCAGCCATCTATACCTCCCATCTATTTCCTCATTTTCACAGCATCTTTTAGTCTTATGAAATGCCCCATCCTCCAAATCACAGGTAGTCATTTAGGGAGAAATCTTGCTTCCTTGTTAGGTAAATACGGTGTCTATTATTTATATTTTAATATCAAAACATGTTGCAGTCTTATGTTCTTACAATAGTGAGAAAAGTCATTTCTCAAGTAGGAAGAACAGTGACCATCAATCGCTCATGGTCATGCAATAACTTGTGGTCACAATGATTTCTCCAGAACGAGTCACTTTGGCCAAGATGCATGTATAACGAGCATATGGGAAAAACCTTCAGAGTTAATTTCTTTTTCTTTTCCCAGAAACGAGTGTGCAGAAATTTGGAGGCTGTTCCACAGGCCATCAATCCTTGCCACCCACTAAGCAACTGTTTTATGGATTACTGGGCTATGAAACAGAATTTGAAGCAGAAGGACCCCACTGAATTGTTCAATCCTCAGATTACGAAAGAGAAGCCAAATTATATGGTATGTTTTATGCAGTTCAAATCTATGCTTTTAGCAGATGTCAATGTATTTTATAATAAAGATGTCAAATAATGATTATCGGGTTGTTTTGAGAATTTTGTATATATGTGCTTATTAATCAGATATTTATGGATAATGAAGCCAAAGCTACTGCCCAGCCATGTCCAAGATGTATTGCTGGTGAACCTGTAAGTATATTAACCTTCTTACTATGACATAAGATAGGCTTGTTCTTAAATATTAGAGCCATAAAACATAAGGTTAATAAAAAAAAAAAACAGCAATTACATTTCTCAGGGATAAAGCATGTAAATAAAAGCAGCAGATTGATTTAGCTTTTTCTTGGTATGCTAGCAGAGTGCAAACTAATATGTTTTCCTGCATTAGGCTGAAAATATAGGGAGTGCGAGCTCGTTTTTCAAACACACTCTAGAAAGCAGAATTTAGTCACCTAAATGAATCTCAATGCAAGTTAAAAAGGCATGTATTACTCCGTTCCAGTTCGGAGACATTTAAGATTTATGAAGAGATTTTAGAAGTATTTCTACAAAACTGGAAGAGGGGAGTATTGCATATTATTCTTTGATATGTTCAATCTAAGGTATAACCCAATTCAACCAAAGATTTCTGTGATTAAGCAGTTGTTTTCAATCCAAGGAAGATGATACTCCCCAAAGCCAGAAATCCTAGTGCGGATTTCCAAGTATTTTAATGAAGCCCTTAACCCCATTCCCAGTTGATACTTTTTTTTTCTTTTAGGAAATTAAAATTAAAATTTGTGTTTTTAACATTGAATACAATTGGTGAGAGCAAAAGTAAGGAAATAAATATTTAAAACAAAGTAGATAGAGGCACGATTTTTAGTTTGTTTTCATTGAGCTAGGCTAGCCCCTAGAATTAGAATGTACATTCATGTTCCAACACTACAAAAGCCAGTGGAAATAGGGTTGTTTGTGAGCATCTTTAGCTGTTTGACAAACGGGAAAATTAAGTATGAATAAATCATTTATCTTGTTTCTGTGTAATATCTAAAGTAGGTTCTCCTTCATATATTCCACAGTAGTGTTTCCTGAAAAAGACGGCAATGCTTATTAACTGTATGTTGAAATCTTTTATCTTAGAATAGGTTGGCTACATTGTGCTTTTAATTTGCTAGCCATAAACTTATGAAACATTGACAAGCTGAAGCGGTATCTATTTGCTTAAGTGCTGTAGTTTTAAAGAAGGATTATATAATGTCACGAAACATTTTCAGTGCTTTTTATACATAGTAGCTAAGAAAACTACCGTTTTTGTTACCAGCATTGGAAAACAGTTGGCTACTTTAGTGGTATTCTCATTTTATGAGATTTTTAAAAACATCTGCCTGACCCTTCTTTGAAAAGAAAGCTGGTCATTGTGGGTTTGATGTACCAAGGCCATTATCATGTTCTTAAAAAGAGAGAGAAAATACTGCAGGCTTAATTCAGAAAGCATTGGACTTTTGGAAATTGCAACTGAGTTCACACATTGTGCTAAGATTTAATATGACCTATTTGGTTTTGATTGTGAGCTATGTGGAACCAACCATTATAGGCTGTTAAACCTGCTTTTTAGTTTAATGTAATAAATTAATCCAGTTATCTGTGGGTTATTCAACAACCCATGGTGTAATGCTGTATGTTAGCCCAGTCTTTATCTGAATGGGCATCTCTAGCTCTAGTTAGTAGCTGCCTATCAACAACATGATTCTTTAGCATATTTAAAACCTCCCAAGTTTATCAAATCTGCAGATCTTATTGCAGTACATTTATTCTGTATTCTTAGTGTAATATAATTTTTTATCTGTATAGCAAACCCTGCTTTCAATTAATATGATTTATTTTTCATTACAGGGACACTTTGGTCATATGATGGGTTTATAGAAGATCAAAGGACATTGATGCAGTAGTCCTTCAAAAAAATATGCATGAGAAGTTTGAGCTCCCAATACTTTCTCCGCTTCTCTTAAAAACTCTTATAGGTGTAAAAAGAAGTAAATAAGGGATTATATTTTTTTAAGTATTTTCAGTAGAATCCCATGTTGGTTTGCTATTTAATATTTTATATTACCTGTTATTTAGGGGAAAAAAGTTCTAAATACTCCTAATATGCACATGTCCATATCATGTACTATTATAGGCATATTTTCCTGAATGTAGGCGGTTAATTGCATTATTTTCATTTTGCACCTCTTGCATTGAACACCCAAAATGTGTGTTTGTTTCTATATGAATCTTAATAGCAATGGTCAACACTAAACATCTGTCTCAAAATAGAGATCTATTCCACCAATCTTAAAATAATATTTAAAATATTTAAATTTAAATATTTAAATTAAATATTTAGCTGATTAGCAATATTCTGTGCAGTCCCATCATTTAGTAAAATTGTGTTGTGGTGTTTCCTAATGCATTGAGACTACAATCCCAGATATTCTAAGGGAAGGGGTTCTGGGAACTTTAGAACTAACTCACCTGGAGGGCAGTAAATTGGGGAAAACTCTTGTTGGCTGGATGAATCCTATCTGAGAGAAGAAAAAGGAAATTTTAAGATAAGAACTAGTTCTTTTTTCAAGTGAAATAAAAAATGAGTCAAATGAATTGCTTGCAGTTCTTTGTTTGCTGCTAGTAAACATGATTTTAACCTGCATGTTTCCTGAATATGTCATAAAAGGTTGTTGAAATTACTTTTGAATGCAAGATTAAATCAATCACTTTTAAAATAATTAAAAAACAGGTATAAGTCATTTTCATGTACCTATTTGTAATTCAGCATTATGGCAAAACTGTAGAGCAAACAATGCCTTATGGGAACAGGAATGGCACTTCCTGTTCTTACCACTACCTTACTTCCTGGAGACTCATAGAATTACACAGGAGCAGTGCAGAATTTTGTTCTTGAGCTAATTTGGTTTTCTTAGTGTGCACTGCTTTCCCTTCTGACCAACTCTTTCCCACCAGCTTTAATATGTAGAATCTGAACTTTGGTGCTTCCAGACAAACACAATCTACCATTACTTGATAGAAACTTAGTATGCAGGTCCCTTTTAAATTTCCATAGGAAAACATGGAAAGATTACAGATGGAAGAGATGTTTGTCAGGAGCTATAATAAAGCCTTGTCTGGATGCACTTTCAGTGATGTATTTTATTTTTCTATCAGTTGTTACTGCAGGGTCAGAAAGCATTGCAGAGGCTGAAAACTATATCAATGAAGTTATGTTAAATATGTCCTAAAATAAAAGGGGAGAAATCCTTACCCAAGAGAAAGAAGACATAGACCTGCTTCTAAGAACAAAGTTTATGGAAGCACTTCACATGAAAACATTTAGGACCTTTTTTAAAAATATATTTTTATGCTAAACGAATTAACAAAAATGCATCAATAATGCCAGCACTTAATGCAATATCAGAATTTAAATAAAAGATGTAACATATGATGCCATATATTTTAGCCGAAATACTTAGCAACTGAATGCTTAGCAACTGAAACCTGGTAAATTGAACTACCTACAATTATTTGCTCCTTCTAACTTTACAGTTCAAATACTTTTTGCTTATGATTGTAATATAGTATTTAATGAAATATTAACATCAAAATATGAATACAATTAAGGAGAGGGATTACAATTCAATTCAATTCTACTACAAAACTGTTATATTCTGCCTTTGCCAAAGACTGAGATATTTTATTTATTCCTTCAGAATGCTATGAACAAAACAGCTTCCAAATCAGCAGCTTGAAGCGCCTAAGACTGCATTCTTGAAGCGCCTAAGACTGCCTAAGCGCTTATCTGTGAAAGAGTCTCAATGAACAAGTGTAAAGGTTCCTCTTCTCTGTGTAATACCTTACCTTCAAAGGTGAGGATGGCCTTCACTCTTACAACCTTCCAGAAAGTCATAAATAAATTCTGGAGCATTTTGGGGGGTTGATTCCAAAGCTGTTGATGTAAGATTTAGTTTTTACTATATTTGTTTACTGTTTATATTTTTATATTATATTATTATTGTATTTTAATACATATTCTGTAAGGTGCCTAGAGTCCAATTTCACTGAGGGGTGTATAAATCTAATAAATAAATGCACTAAACACATAAGAGAGACTTCCTGAGATCTCATAGGATTTTTGCAAAGTGTGTCCCACCTGATCAGGCCCATCTGATATTGGCTACATCGGCTGTAGTGTGAGACTCTTATATAGAGTCCAGCATTTGTAGATTCCATCCATGCAGTTATTGCCTTTAAAATTTTAGGGGTAGAGATTACATGAATCACTCATTAGATTCTACATTTTCTTCTTCCAACATTATATCCACATAGAGGATATAACATAGGTGGCAAACAGGATGACAGGTAAATTTGTCCTCCTTTATGGCTCACACCATTTACAGGCCTGGAAAATAAATGTAGCAGGGCCATTCACAAACCTGAGATTGTTACTCATATGTACATTGGAAGACTTCCTAGATTTTTACCACTTATTTTCAGGTTTTATAATATACTTTTTAGTATATCCAAGGCTGATTTTGCTCTTTAGAGGCAGGTGTTAAGCACATAAAAATGAACAGAATAACAAACCTTCATTCATACTGGGGGAGGGAAAGATTGAGCTTTACATTGTACTTAACTCAAAAACCTCTGTTAATGCTAAAATGGAAACAATGGATTGGATTTAGGTGCATAAAGGTTTCCTCTTGTTCTTTCAACCAATCTCTCAAAAATGCTCCCCACAGTCAGGTCCTTGAGGTTGACAGAAAATGCCTCTCCCTGATTTTCTAAACACCCTCACCATTTGTTTCATAGCATCCACACCACAGTCTGCCCAATCCATTTGGAGAATGAATACCAGGGCATCTCGTCCACTTGGTTGCATATAACGTAAACCTGAATTCAAGCCCAGAAGTATAATTTTCAACATAACAACTTGGCATACATGAGCATTATACATAAAGTTTTGAAATGTCTTAATTACATTCTAGAAAGCAACACATTTTTCCTAAGGATGCTAATTGACTAGACTTTTTTTTAACTAAGAGGTCCTAGAATATTTATATTGGTGAGTGTACAATGGGAAAATACAATTTTATATTGTACTTCAGACCTTTCAAATCTTACATTGAATAAACATTTTTTTTGTCTTCAAATTGAATATAGATTTTTGTCTCCAAATCAAGTAGCCTAAAATGTGATAACCACAGAAGTATTTTGAGAAATGCTTTTTTTAATTTTATAATAGAACAATTACAAATATACATTGTAACTTTTTAATATACAAAATCTAAGAATACTTTCTTAAAATGTAAAAAAATGAAATTGATACAGCAGTTGAATTTTTGTTGTATAACTTTAAAACTTTGTATTTTGTAAATTATAATTTATTTTTTTAAGCTAGAATATTAAATAGCATATTTGCTTTAAAGGCTGACAACTATTATTATTTTTTTAAAAAAAGATCTGTTAATGTATAAGAAAAACTAAGTTTACCTTTCTTCCAAAATTTGTCTTGCAATTTTGCCCAGGTAAATGCTATTTCTTGTTCTCCCTTCATATGTTTCCAGGAGTTACATCCTCGTAAATAAATAAGATAGAATTTAGAAGACTGTACTTTGCTATGTCATTGGGAACTGGGATTCAAATGGTAAAGTTCTGTCACTTCCAGCTTCTTCCATGATGATGGTTTCCTTTTCTACTACATATGTTGTTTAACTTACTAATATTGAGAAGTTTCTGTTATCAATTAGTTCTCTTTTGAACAAACATCACGGTTACTTCAATATCTGCATGTGTTTGAGGTTTGATGTAATGTGTCACAGGCTGTATATTTTGCAGTCCAGTTTGACATTTCCTCCTGGTGCATGAGTGTCTGGCACAGATTGCAATGACAAAAATGGTGAAATGTGCATCATAACCTCTTGAGGCAAACTCTGCCCTTGGTGCCTACAGACACAGGTAAATAAGTGATACAGTTTGCAACATGATGTCATGTTACATGTTTCATCATTCACCCCCACCCAGTTGGGATGCCTATACATGCATGCTAATAGGAAGGTAACATTTCATGTATCCATTGTGGACTGTAATCCACAAAAGCTTACACCAAAATAAGGATGTGAGCTTTTAAAGTGCAACAGGGGTGCTCTTGGAAAAATATCTCCATATTCCCAAACCACTTCTTCTTGAACTCTGTTGAAATGTAAACAGCAAAAGGTATGGTCACAGGAAAGCTCATTAGGACAAAAGACACAGAAAACATGAGTGCCCATTCTTTCCTTGATGCATGGGCATTCATCTATAATGTGAAAAATAGAAATATGATGGTCCAGATATTATACATTCAGCAACTTGCATTTATTCAAAAAGGGAACAAATATCTCAGCAAAATGTAAGAAAAGGCAGGTTTCTGAATCTAACTTTACTTGCAAAGAAGGATGTTCAAAACTCAAAGCTCAAGTTTCATTACAGACCGCTTGATTCTCAGACTTCTTCGAGTTTGTTTTCATTTTTTAATCGCTTGCTTGCTTGGCTAGACTTTCTCAATCTGCATTCCACAACCTACTTTCTCCAGGAATTGACCTATAGAGGATTCTCTGGAGTAAGTGGTTTGACCTCAAAGGTCTTTTTCCCCAGAATTTAAGGCCTTGGCTTTTTAGTATTCATTCTGTCCCAATATTCTGAAGTTGCTTGGTAGATATACTACTTGGGGGTCTTTTTTCCCCTTGCATTCTTTTGAAATGGTATGCCTACCTCTCCTATGTGACCAGGTGTCCCTGTACAAATACTACAGCTCCTATTTATCATACCCAAATATTAAATAGTTGCACTTTATAACATATAGTATCACACATTCTACAGGAGATATATACAGCAAAAATGAAACAGGCTGGTGTAACTACTGTTTCAGTTTAAAATAAGGCCTGATTACTTTTTATGGCTAATCATCAATAATGAATGTTAAAGTGTACTATTTAAACAAGGAGAATGGGGGAGATGTGTAGCAAACATCTCAAGTATTGTGGGACAGTAGATTACATAAATAGCTTTACCTTGTACTAAATACTACAGGTGCAGAGCTATTCAATTCTACTACACCATGGAGAAATTGAGACTGATCCTATATGCACTTCTCTGGGAGTCTATTTAACTGAACTCAGTAGGATTTATTTTTGAGTGAAATATATAATCACGTAACCTTTCTTAGCCCATTATCTTTGATTTAGGAAACATTGCTTAATACCAATAGATATAGGTATTGGATAAGCATACAGTAGTTGTCTGAAAATGTCAATCACCAAAGTAATAAATAGAATGAGGAAGCTGATATCAGGTATAATCAAGATACCAGTATTACTCTTTCCATCTATAGGATGAGAAGGACCTGAACAAAGGTTTTGATAATGCAACAATTTCTGCTACATCCCTAAGTCCCGTGGTTGGAACAAGGGTTTCAGTTCTCCAGTAATATCAGCACTTGCAGCCTTACCAGATTTTTCCTTGATGACTAACATTTATAGCATTCATTTCTACTCACACACAAATCTCATTTCATCCTTTTTACCCTTAGTGCCACTCATTTTGTGTTTAACTTTCTTCACTTTTTTTTTTTTTTT